TGATGACTTTGAGTTACCTGCAGCTGCTTGCTGTAATGGTGCAGTACTTGCAGGTTTTGGTGCAGCTGCAGCTGCAGGACCTGCAGATGCAGGTGTTGATGTTTTTGCTTTGTCATTCGATGACAAAGCAACTAATGTTTGTTGTTGAGAAATATCTTTCTCATCGACTTGCGTTGACATATCCTTCTTTGAAGTAGATTTTAAAACTGTTGCATAAGATTGTACATTTGGTTTTGGAACATTGTTGTATATATTAACAAGCTTTTTAGCCTCCGGGTAAGGAATTCGTTTTTCTGCTTTCACTTTCTGAATTTCCTTTTCTTTTATCCATAAAGGACATTGCTTGGAGGAAGCCATATGCTCTCCTTTACAATTTTTGCAATTTGGGGTTTTCTGACAGCCTTTGCCATCATGCCCCTCTTCACCACACTTGAAACAGGTTTCAGCGCCTTTACAGTTATTCTGTCCGTGCCCAAATCGCTGACATTTAAAACAACGCAGCGGGTTCGGCACAAACATTTCAACTTTCATTTGATATAGGCCAACTTTGATGTTAGTTGGAAGTACTGGCATACAAAAGGTTAAAAGGTATGTATTGGTCGGTTCAATATTATCATTTCGTTTTTTCGTGAACCGTTTCACAGAGATCACTCCCTGGGACTCCAACTCAGATTGGATTTCCTGTTCAGGAATGTCATCCAGGTCTCTATCATACAGTATACCTTTACTTTGGTTAAGTCCACTGTGGACCTTACCAATAACAGGGATATCTGCAAGAGTTTTCAATGCCAACAAGGATGTAGATTGCTGCTTCTTGGACACTTCAAGGAGTAGAGCACCAGATTTTAACTTTTTAACTGATTTAGGTGTTCCTATGATTCCCTGTATACCTTTTTGTATTACAAAAGGTGACACTTTTGTCAAAGGCTTTGTATAATTTTCAGATAACTGTGCTTCAAGTGTGATGAAGCGGGGCCAATGTTCCAAAACTGAAGAAATCTGCTCATCATTCAGAGAGGATTCTAAACCTGATGGGTAACAGCGTTTTTTAGTAAGAGCCATGGTTTAATGAATAAAATTCAGAATCCTTGCTCCCCGCCCGCCATGGAGCGCCAACAAGGGCGGTGTCAAGTCAAACGGATATCCAGTAAGAATGACACCAAGAGGATACAAAGAGACTATACTCAGACATAAGATATATCTGATTGACCCTAAGCCACCGCTTGATATAAATATATTAACATGGAAACGTCGGCGTATTGGAAATTTGCAAAGTCAGGAAATAAAGAAAAGAGAGACAAATACATCAATACTAAGGCATGTCAATAAAAATCAGCTCGGCGTGACCAGCCGCTTGATCAAATCGGGCCAAACTTGACCTCCCGTCTAGATGAATATGGGGCCAAAGTGGAGTGTTGGTCATACAGTTGCGTTACACCAAGCACCTGCAGACCTCAGCCACCAGGATCCCCTCCTCCACCAACACGGGTCGCAACCCACGGCCAACAGGTTGCTCCATTTAGTCGCCTTTTACCCATAGATATGAGAATCAAATGAGGGGCATGTAGCCCGTGCTTTGATTTAAATGTAGTAATGCTGTTTTATAATAAAAGCTAAGTGCATTGAAAATGTCTGATTCACACTGCTATCTGTAGTAACCCATGAGGTCTTCACAGATTTTATTAGTATAGGCATCAAATATCTGAAGGGCAAAAATTTTAAATTGCTAAGGGCTAGATCATCTAAAATTCTGGGAAAGCTTTAAAATATATCTTAGTATACAGAAGCAAACCGGTCTCCTCTTTTGTTGTTGATATAACTCAAAGCAATGTTATCTTTTTATTCCTAAATTTCATTTTCAGTTGTCATTTAACCCTTTCTTCTTTTTTTTATGCAAACATACATAAGTTTTTGCAGGTTCTACAACAATGTGCAATACACTCTTTTATTTATGATTACTTGTAGAGAAAGTGATCTGCGATGTGAAATGCATGATATAATTGCCTGCAATAAAATTTTTACGACATACCACTATCTAGACTCAGTAATTAATTCTGACAGGCAAATTTTATCACTGATGGAGTGCTCTACAAACAATCCAGCTGTATTCAGTTTCTAAAAGGATTGAAAGATAAAACAGGCAAATGTACTAAAATTGACACAAGAAGCTCCACCCCTTGAACTCTCTCACCCTCCATTTTGGAGTCATTGTGGTGACTCCATCCTCCGCATTTTACACCAAACCGGGACAAACTGACCCACATGTTTTATGTTCCTTGACAAAAACAGTAGCTTGAATCTTACTAAGTGGTGAAAATTCAGTTATATTATGACTAACCTGTGCAAAAAGGAAGCAATAAAACACGGGTATCATGTCATGCAACCTGCAATAGTGACTCAAAGTATGTGCATAAAAAATATATGCAAGGATTGTGTTTTTCAATTTTGATATTGAATGTAATTGTAATATAGTACAATAATATTCTTGTATAGGGGGAATGTTTGAGACTTGTGATAGGGATTATTCTATTTAATAGCTTAAATTAAAACCCTTCTCTCCGCCCAGAGATGTCCGAGAACGTCAACGACTGAACGAAGACCTGTGGAAGCAGTTCGAAGCTGGAATTCTGACAGGCTGTCATATTTGTCATTGGGCGCCGGTGAAAAACTATGGGCGTTCGTGCTGTGGCGATCTGGTTCAGACTAAATATATTCAACTTATCTTCAAAACATGCTGAGAAATCATACTAAGGCAAGGATACAGCAGACAAAAACCAAACAGTGATCTACCGCACAGACAGACACAATAGAACAAGACACAGGGTCCCGCACTTTACAAACACAGTAAAGCGACTGTCATACATTTAAACCAATAAGACCTAGATTCATCAAGCATCCGCAAAAGACCATGAATCTACAAATATTAAAGCAGGACATGTTTTGTCCAATTCCACTTGTCTATTAATAGTGAGCTTCTAGGAAATGTAGAGGTTTAACTCTCCCAATCTTCCTTATTCAAGCATCGATGTACATTCAATAAACCTAAGTGCGTCTGCTTATCTACGCAGCCTCCTTTGTTCTCCTGAAACCGCGTGCTCGACACTCCCCACCTTCTTAGACCCCAGGTGTTACATGTCCCCTTGGGATCAAGAAGATAAACACGTTCATGCGTATTTCGTTGGACATCAGGTAGCAAATACTATTTTGTTCACTGCCATGGCAATATTAAATACACAACTATACCACAATGTTAATGCAGAGATAAGATTATCCACCTGATACAAAGAATTCAATAAGATAAGAGAGTTAGAGAACTGAAGTCGAATAAATCAGGTACAGGTTAATTGACAAAAAGCTTTCAACATAAATGTAGACTTTTATGGCCGATACTGCGAATTCCGGAAAACTTTCCCTACAAATACATAATATCTGTTTTCAATGAACGGTGTCAATGTAAGCTACCATTTATTAGGCCTTTCAACTAGTTTTTCAAGTTGCACACATGGTTAAAACATTGTATAGATAGATTTATAGGTACATAAAATTATCAAAAAAGATAACTTGTGCATACTGTAGTAAAATTATATTATTTTACTATGAATAAATGTCGCCTACCTTACAATCAAAGGTGACGACGAATACCCAGGTTTACATGGTAGGTAAACACAGGTACATGCAACAATACAACAAACAAAGCAGGTAAACGTGGTGAAAGGTTTGACTGGTAATTCTCGACTGAGGTAGGAATCGTGCCGGCACGGGTGGATGGCTATGAGGTCAGGGTGAAAGGTCATAGTGGACTTATTTACATATGCAATTTCACCACATTCCTCCCCGTTTTATTTAATAAGCTAAGGGACAAATACTGTAATTTATTCAGAGGAATGTAAACAAGAAAGATCTAATTATTATGCAATATGACATGGAAGACGTATGAACTAAAACATGTATCCCCATGAACTTGGCCGGAATTACTTCTAGCGCCTTAGTTCCGCAGGATAAACATGTATGTATGTGGCAAGATTGAATATGGCTGGGTTTGCAAATCATAATACATGTAATAAGCATGTATCTACCACATTAGATCAAAATCATTATAATTTAGCCATACATATTCCATGTTGTCTGTTATACATTTCCTATATTTTAACACTTAATTCATAGTCAAAAGGAATCTACCTATGACCTAACACTGACCTACTTCCATGAGAGTCCTGTAACTGAATGGTTTCATGACAAATGGTTTTAGTCTAGTGAGGTTCAGTTGTACCAGTATAACTTAATCATGTAAATACAACTGATTTACCTAATTACATTGTGCCGGAGTGCAGCCTATGTTAGAACTTGATGACAGATAAATTAACTAAATCGTTGCAATGTATCCTAATAGTTAACTTAGTATATATTACGATTAACTTCTTATGTATGTCGTCACCTTAAAATATGACAATGCCTAGTACTAGTACTATATAACTTATACTAACTTAAGCCTAACCTAAACTAAGTATATTTTCTTATTTCCTATCCTAAGAACTAACTAAATTAACTGAAGAAAGTATGTATCCTTAATTGTCGACTAAAATAGGATAAGCCAGGAAATATAATTATTAAACGTATTTACAAAACATATTCCGCATCAGAACCGTCACTTTCTAAAATTAGTTAGCCGGGTGCGATACGGAAAATGTACAACAAATAACTATATACAAACTATGTAATGCAATCCGCCCAATACCGTCACTGAGAAAGGTCAGCCAAGTATATATTCGGAAAGCATAAGGTTATTTACATAAAGCAATCCTGCCCAATACCGTCACTGAGAATAGTCAGCCGGGTATCTAACGGAAAGCAATTTGTCTATATACATGAGGCCATCCGACTTGATTTACCGTTACTGATATCAGCCAGGTATATCCAACAGAAAGCATAGGTTGCATGATTACACCAGTCCTGATTGAAGTATATTTCTAGGCATCCTTAGGAACTGGGTAAAGGACATGCAACAGGATAGATCATTGCAGAATTTTGACTAATATGCTGCCTGAATATGCTTCACCCAGATTTGACTTAAATATAGAATACTAATAAAAGCCTAAGTAGTACTAAATAAAGTTGTACTAATTTATCAACATTAAATCTGCTTTGATTGAGCAATAATGATGCTAAGATATTCACTATGATTACAACCTTTCCAAAATAGTAATGACTATTCTTAAACTGCTTAATTCATATAATTTCTTACTAAAATCTCAAATGCTACAGATATAATAAAGGTACTCTAAATGCTTTCTAATATAAGTGAGCTTTAAGTACTTGTACTATAATCTTGATAGTTAATACTGTGCATATCTACACCACAAGTGCATTTGAGCATTGCTATGTAGTTTACGTTGATACAGATTACAATGGCTTCAACCAAAATATATAGGTCTTTAGCTATAACTAATGATATATATTTACTGTATTAACATTGACATGTTAAACTATAAAGACTTTGAGTTGCAATAGACATTATGCACTTATAATTGTAAACAACAGTCAAGCAATTCTCAAATACATTGACTTGGGTGCAAATAAGTTACTTTAAAGCTAATACTTAAATGTTATGCACCTGAACTCGAAGATTGTTGCAACTAGTAATAATATAAAACTTAACAACTACACAGCTGTTAAGACCTTCAAACTACAATCTACACATTTCCCCTCCCTTTTATTCTTAAAAGAGAGAAGTAGTAATAATAGTTAGCTGTTCTTAATCATAAGTAGTAGTACTATAGCTTATCTGATGTAGATTGTGCATAGTTAGCTATACTTGTGAATTTAGACTATTATTGTAGACAAATCATTAGAGTACTATAATGGCGACAAGTCTACTTGAAGCACTTAACACTAATGACTAGTAGATAGTGCTGCAAGAACTACTTTAAGTAAGTTAGTCAACTACCAACTGTGACGTTCCAGTTAAGAATTAACTACCAGTTCTAGTGTAAATATTAGTTGCTAATAAATAAATTAAATCTGAATAAGGTCAGATTGCAGTAAAAACTGATATTATTAACACTACAATCTTCTGATTATTAGGTACTAAATACTATTACTAGAATTATTAAGTGTTATTATAAGTCAGTAAGTAAACACTGGGTAAAAGCATTTCAGGTTTATTTAGCAAATGATCTACGTTTATAGGATTGGCCATGGCACAACCCAACACTTATTTTCAAGTGGCAGCCCAGATGGAATGCCCAGCCCAAGGTATACAAATAGGAATACACAAACAAGGCACTCTCCAAAGTAAGTTAGGGGGTTCTTGTCGGCCGCATTCCAAGTAGACCTGGTTTGGCCATCTGTGCTGTCACTTTCAATAGTGGTTGTGGTAACGTTCACAGCCGTTGCTGGTACAGACAGTGTGGAATCAGCATTCAGCGCTTCACTATTTTTCTTCTGTTGTGGATCCCATAGTGAAGAGGTTGCTGTTTCCTCTTGTTTTGTAACCAGCTCTTGGTAGGAGGGCTCCTGTAAATAGTCAGTTGTCTGAGCATTCACAACTTTGTCATTGCTATGCTCAGGCAAAGCATCGCTCCTAGATAGCTGTGTGTTGAAAGTCAAGTCCGGTGCATCTAAAGTCAGGTCTGGTAGTTGTTGGCAGTTTATGGTGTATTCAGCATCTGGAGTTATATGACAACCAGCAGTTGAATGCTCACTACTCGGTAGCCGTAACTCAGATGAACTGCCTTCAGAAACATCCTTGTCCTCTATGTCTGGAGTTGCCGAAATCCCAGGAACATGGAGAAAACCATTCTGTGACACCATGTTATTCCACTGAATACTAGCAGGTGATATATCACCACTCTGTATTAGTGGAAAACCTGGTGGACTTTCACAGGTAACTGTTGGCATCTGCTGCTGCTGCTGCTGCTGCTGGTATACTGCTGCAGTAAGTGTTGGCATCTGCTGCTGATGGTTTACTGCTGCAGGCAAGACAGATGAACAGCTGCTGGCATCTCCAGATCTAAATGGTGCAGACAGTACCTGGTCCTGGTTGTTGTCTGGAATTTCATTTGGGGACATAACAGGACTTTGTACAGCTCCCTCATTTTGTAAATGGGTCAATGGTGGTGGCGTTAGTGGCCCTCCATACATGCATGGCTGTGGATAAGTCATCTGAGGTACCATGTATCCAGGTGGGAACATTCCGGGATACGGGCCATATGCATATGGTATGCTGGGATATGGCTTTGGTGGTCCAAGAAATGGTTGTGGGAATGGTCCATCATATCCAGGAAATGGCACAGGGTAGTTCCCAGGGACTGGTGTACAGGGATAAGGATACCCACATTGGCCTGGGTTCAGTGATGGCATGTATGGTCCACCATAGTATCCAGGAGGTGCTGCACACATAGCTGGATTCATCTTGTTGTATTCAGTAGCTCAAAGTTACGGAAATAAATCACGCCGTTTGACACTACTGAAACGTTCAGTCAGAGAAAATGTTTCGAGTTATTTACGTTACGTTGTTTCCACGTTTACGGTAAACAAACCGCCCGTGAACGGTGAAAATATATTAACACCAAAAATGACTGATGTACAGCAAGATCTGTGTGGAATCCGTTATCTGAATTAAACGTAACTTTAACACAATGTAATACTTGTATTTTAAGCCGGTTTAATTCTTTGGTATAGTCCTGGTAATTTTACTTGTCAGACTGCGTTTATTTTTCTCTCTATCTTCTTCTGTCTATATTTAATTACTTTTTACGATGTTTCTATTATTATTTCTTGTTGAATTAAACGTTACTTTAACACAATAAATAATTGTATCTAAGCCAGTTTAATTAACAAATAATTGTATCTAATCCAGTTAATTCAGCAGTCAAGTCTGTCAAATTTAGTTTGACGTTTCTCTCTTCTTTCTATCTGCTTTTCTTTCTACCCCCTCTTATCTTTGATGATTGATTTACGCTGTTTCCTTTATTTCGTTGATGGGATCTTCGATTGATAAAATATTGGTCCACTACAAACTACTTAAACTTTTATTAATCGTAACTAAACTTAATTAACCTGTAACTTAACTATATTTTGCTTTAATTACCGACAGACTCTTACGACGTTAGTGTACAAACGCCCGATGACAGACGACGGTAGAAACAAGCATTGATGTTACGAGAGTTTGTAGATAAGCTAAATAATTAATTGTATAATCAATTGATGATGGTGTATGAATTGATTATACTTTTGCAATAAGATTGACTGTTATTTCACAGAGCTAAGATGTAAAGCCGTTACACTACAAAATCAGTCTAGTCTACTGTTAGAGCGAGAAGCACGTGCGCTTCGATCTAAATTTAGCTTTTACAGGTAAACCGGTTTGCGTGAACCGAGCTCTGTGAAACTACACAACAAAAATATACAATATCAAAAACACAATATATCTCTACTTTCCCCCGAATGTTTTTTCAGGGAACTTAGAGAAAAAAGAAATAATATGATTACTCTAAATCCTAAGTAAATAACGAGTCGAGAAGAAAACGGCGCTCCTCGAAAATTGTCAACACGAGTGACAATAAATTTTCACTAGAAAAAAGCTATTTGTCTCGTGCAAAAATATGAAATAGATTAACAATTTATAATAAGGTTCAATCGTTGTGGCACGAGTGACCAAAATTCAATGAGTCGAGAAAAAAACGTAATTTGCACAAGACAATGAAAAATTGAAACTTTTCGTACTGACGTTTTATAAAAAAAAAAAACGCCCTTACGATAGTTGCAAACTAAATGGTAATGAAAATATTCAATATGTTAGCACTAACGTTTACAAAAACGCTGTACGATAAATATAATACAAAATTCTAATTAAAAACGAAAATGTAAAAATAATTGGACCGTGATATCACCACGTGGTCAAATGCGACTCACGAGTGAAAAAATAACATGGCAAATTAGTCAAATTGTTTGAACTTTGCAAATAACGTTAATTATAACGCCTGTAAGCAACAGTTTCCTAAAATTCCAAAATGACTAAATGCAAAATATTTCACTCACGTGTTTTTACTCACGAGTGGAAACTCACACGTGAATTGTTGCAAGTAAAAACATGGTAATTCAAAATGCCCCGCTCCGAATTACCGGCGACGCCAATGTAGTAAAATTATATTATTTTACTATGAATAAATGTCGCCTACCTTACAATCAAAGGTGACGACGAATACCCAGGTTTACATGGTAGGTAAACACAGGTACATGCAACAATACAACAAACAAAGCAGGAAAACGTGGTGAAAGGTTTGACTGGTAATTCTCGACTGAGGTAGGAATCGTGCCGGCACGGGTGGATGGCTATGAGGTCAGGGTGAAAGGTCATAGTGGACTTATTTACATATGCAATTTCACCACAATACTTTTAATTACCTCATTAAAAAGTTTAATCATTTATACTTGACTTTTCCGATGTTGTGTTTTAGGAAGGTAACTTAGGTTTGAAAAATGACCAAATTAGTGCCGATTTATGAGTTATCGTTTATAGGAATGACATATAGGCTGCCTCAGCATTGGTATTGTTATATACACAAAAGGGTTCCTTACATTGTTTTGTTCACAATAAAGAAAATGCCTTCTCTCTACCTGAAATAACACGGTCAAATGAATAGGGACCAGACTATATTCAATAGTTTAACTCTCTTCGACGATTATTTTGAAGAAAAAAAAATAATGTCATGTTTTTTGTGTTCGCGCTTTTTCGCTTCTTATGTAAATATATATATATTTCCCAGATAGCAAGCTTACGTTGGGCCAATGTCAGCCCAACAGTGAAAATTACGTTGGCCCTCTGTCGTATTTATTTGTTGGCCCAACATCATCTTGCTCATCGGCCCACTGTTCGACCAACAAGTTGGCTCGACGTTGGGCCAACATTTGAAGGTTGGTAATCTGACATTGGTCCAACAGTGGCCCAATGTATAACTTCTTGTTGGCCCAATGTTGGTCCAATCTTATTTATGTTGGACAAACGTTGGCCGTATTTGGAAAATTATTTACGATTCACTTATTTTTTAATCAGTTAGACAATATGAATTCCGGTTCTGTGACATTTTTTATTTCCATTATAACGAGTTAATACCAATTAATTTATTAAATCCTGCATGGATAATTAACTAGTTCTTCATATAAATGTTGTTTTTGTCACTCCTGTATAATGAAACGAATACATGTAACAGGAAGGTGGTTCAAAGTCTATCCAATATATCACTACATTTACAACCACTCTGAAATGGGATCCAGTGTTCAAATACATTTATGTGCAACTTTGGAATCATTCACTCCTTTTTTCCCTTGTTCATGTTATTGTTTCTTTGTCTATAAAATCCATGTCCTCCAAAAATTTAAATCACTCAATGCATGTCCAGTAAATTCTATACATCAATGGTCTTGTAACAGAAAGGGTTTTCTTTCCACCAGTTGCTATAAACGATACAAAATTATATATTATTAGTTTAATCAATTCAAAAATGATTTCTCTTAGTACTCAGATAAGTAATAATTAACTAAATTACTAATAAACTATATGAAAACTTTGGAAAGTGTAACTTTTGTAAAACAATGTTCAATGTTACAAATTATGCCCAATTTAAGTTAATACTTTCAAAAACATAAACTTCGATTAATATCTATACTTACATTTCAAGAGCTAAACAATCCGTTTTCTCTTTCTTGCGTTTCAAAGCAGACAAGAACACCTATATGCTATGTTCAAACGTTGCAAGTGATAACTTGTGACCACTCCGAGTTTACCAAACAGAACTAATTAGGATGCCCGTTTCCTAGGAAACCGGCCAGTCACCCGCTGTGCAAGTGGATTTCAACACTGACCTAATTATCTAAAGCTCTAAAATTCAGCACTTTAAGTTTCATGTGCTAAATATAGAATCCAAAATATTATTATGTGCAGAATAAAACTTCTACATACATAATATATTTGCAATGCTCCTGAATAATAATAACATATAAGAATCACCAAAAAGTACATCATATGATTTTCATAGATAATTGTTCATGTTGTTTTGGAATAATATTTCGTTTTTTAGATTGATAATCAATGCATGAGTTATTAAGATTAAATCATCCTTACATAACTTTTTAATTAAATATTGAGCTGTCTCTATTTAAAGAAGCTTAAAATAGGTGGTTCTGAAATATTAAAATTTAAAAAAATGTGCGTTAAATGAACATACCACCTACATGTACCTATTTGTTTTTTCCCCTATTTTCATATTGTTGGACCAACGCTGGGCCAACGTTCAACATGTTCAAAGCCCACTCAATGTCTGATTATAATTAAAATTTACTTCATTTTGCCAACATTGGACAGATTATTACATGCCAAACACACATTGGCCATGTTTCATGTCGCCATTACTTGGTTGATGCTACGTTCGGCCAACATTATGGATCTCCAGTCGCAATGGTTTTAATTTATGCCAATAACTACTCGGTCGGACCTACGCTGGGCCAACGTCGAATTCCCAACATATAGTGGCTACATTTCATGCCAACATTAGCTACATTGGGCCAACATTGGACCGATTATTACATGCCCAACACACATTGGCCATGTTTCATGTCAACATTACTTGGTTGGCCCTAAGATGGGCCAACATTATACATCCCAACACGCAATGGTCTTAACTTATGCCAACGTCTACTCGGTCGGACCTACGGTGGGTCAACATCGAATTCCCAATATATAGTGGCCACATTTCATGCTAACATTTACTACAATGGGCCAACATTGGCCCAACATCACATAATCAGCACCGACGGACCGGCTTTCATGCCAACATATCATTTGTTGGGCCAATGTTGGACCAACATTAACAGCCCAACACCAACACTATACCAACCTACCAACCATTAACCAACGTTGGCCCGATGTAGTCTTGCTATCTGGGTTACAAGTAAATGCAACAATTGATCATCTTATTTGTGTTACTAAGCACGAAGGGGAACGACCGAGTATAAAAAATTTAAATAGGTTAGAACTAAGAAGGAGGGTAGATTTCACTTTTTATTTTAATTAAAGATTTTAACTAATTGCAGTAAACCGGTGTCCGCAACTATAAAGTAAATAAGTTTAGCATTGGTGCTAAATTTTAAAACCACTTGATTCTGCTGAAAGCAAAGAAACACCTGAGAAATGCTAAAAACTGCCTTGCGTATAAACAGTTAGATACCCCGAGCCTGCTCTAAACAAGTTTCAGCAGTGAGTTATCGTTCATTACACCGACCCCTAGCGGCAGTTGAAAGGCCTACAATTTATCAATCAGCAATCCTCGGCTGACTCCTTTACGCTCCATACAAAAAGTGCGAGGCCACCCGAGGATCATCGGACTGGTTAGTTTGATGATGATGATGCGATT